ATTTCTTCTCACTGATACTAATGCAACCTATACCATTTACCAAGTTCCTTAATATCTAGGAAATCTAAACAGTAACATTTGTCTATTTGTCAATATTTCACTCTATACAACACTGTTTTAATAATTGGCACTTTATACTAAATAAAGGTCTCCTTCTACAGGTGTTTAAAATGACTTGGACTATTCATGTCTCTTTACTCAACCCTATGAAATTTAGGGTCAATTAGTCAAATTCCACTAAAAAAATCTATCAGGATTTAATCTGAATCACATTGAATTTTGAGAATATTTCATTTCCTCATAATTTTCATATGCACAATTGCCTTTTGTAGTTTTGTTTTGTACAGATTTATATATTTACCTTACATGTTAAATAAATTGATTACACATTATTGCTTTGTACACCTCCCTCCTTTCTTCTGAATTCCATTTTCATCTTCCTCAAGCTCACTCTTCAGAATTTTTTCAGTGAGGGTCTATATGTGGTAAAGATGGTCTGTATTTGTGTGGATAGTTCTTTATTTAGTCATCACTCTTTGCAGGGAACATTGAGAGGTACTACCCAGATCCCGATTCAAAGGTGAGGGACCTATGCCCTGGGCGCTGGCAGTTCAGCAAGCTGCCAGAAGGCGGCGGCCAGCCCTTTTCAGTAGTTAGCCCAAGTAGTCTCCCCACTTCCGGCGTCAGCCCACATCCGGTGACTGATGTCAGAGGTCTGTAAAGGCTGACCCCTTAACTCTGAAGGGACGTTCCAGGTTCATAGCTGAGGCCCCTTCACTGAGACTTTGTTGCAGGCCAGCTGTTCCCTCTGCCCAATCCTGCTACCACCCCTTCGCAGGTGTTGTTTCCAAAGCATTCCACGAGAAACCCTCTCTAGCCACCTCGGACTCAGAGTGTGCTTCTGGAGAAGTCAAGCTAAGGTAGTCAATGTCAGTGGTGAGTCAAGAAAGGAGAAACTAATATGAAATTTTTGACTTGAATCATTGGCCAGCTGATTGTCAATGAGACTTGCTCGTTGGTGACAGATGTAGGACAGATAGACCTCGGCTCAAGGTAACAGTGCAATAAGTCAAACTTTAATTAGCAGTGAACTGGGATGTATTCTTATGGAAGGTAGTACAGGTTTCCCCTGCTATCTGAAAGGAGAGCATTCCTGCGAAAACTTGCATAAGCTGAAATGGCATAAAACAAAGAAGCAATTACCATATAAATTATATGGAAAAAGTTTTGCTCATTCTCAGACCCCAAAATTAACCTACTAAATCATACCAAGTAATAAGTAAAACAAAATAACACCCAATTATGCCCAGTTTCACAGTAAGTGTAACACCCTTATGTGCTCTCAGACATTTCTGATACTTTAGGACACATCTTGCTAACAGCACACAAAATAAATGGAGACAGAGCACAGACACTCGCAGACACAGTGCAGAGCGGTTGGGCCTGATGCTCGGACACTGAGTGTGGCTCCCAGGGAGGGGGGCTGGCGGCCGCGCTCACCTCAATGGTGCCCGTTGCCTCTGTAAGGAAGGGCTCCCTGCACAACAAACGCTAGAGGTGATTTTTGCTCTTGTTCTGTAAAACCAAAAATCCTCTTTGGATTTCTTTTGGTTAGTCAAAACAGGTACTACTTTTTATACAGGTCTTTTGTACAAGTGACGTGCTGTAACGTGAACTTCTGAACAGCGGGGGTACGTGTATGCTGGAGTGGGTGCAACGTATTAGGCATTTAAGAAATATGAGGGAAATAGGAATCTTAAAAACAGGGGAATTAACTGTTGCTAAGCAAAACCGATCCTGTGTAAAAAGCAAAAAGCTGAGAATGGTTAATGGCTATTAAAAATTTAAGAGTAAAGACAGAGGGACGTTAAGAAGAGTATAGGAAATGGAGAAGCCAAGGAACTTATGTGTATGATCGATGGACATGAACTAAGGTGGGGGGGGTGCTGGAGGAAGAGGGGTGCAGGGTGGAGCGGGATAAAGAGGAGAAAAAATGGGGCAGCCATAATAGCATAATCAATACAATATGCTTAAAAATAAAAAATACAATAAAAACAAAAAAATATGAGTAAAATTCAGAAGGCCTCTTTGGCAGCCAATAAAGGAGCTTTTATCTCCTGCAGTGGGAAGGCAGAAAAGCTCGGCCTGGCGCTTGATCGCACGTGTGGCAGAGCTCCAACGCAGATCAACAACCAGAACACGTGCACCCCTCCTTTCGGCTGCGCCACCGTCAGAACGCCCGGTTGGAAAGAAACCCTGATGCAATGGCCTGGGTTGAGACACCTGAATATTTGAATTTCCATATTTTCCTGAACGCTTTGAGTCTGAACATGGTCCATATTCTAGTTTAATGGCTAGTGCTCCCTACTGGCTTGAAAACAATGCAGCGGCCTCCTCCTCGTCATACAACCTGACTGCTGGGTCAATAACTTGGCTTCCCTCACCATGTAACCCGGCACAGTTATTTTATTTTATTTTTAAAGGTCTTATTTATTTTTAGGGAGAGGGTAAGGGAGGGAGGAAAGAGGGAGAGAAACAATGATCGGTTGGCTCTCATGCTCCAACTGAGGACTGAACCTGCAACCCAGGCCTGTGCCCTGACCTGGAATTGAACCAGGGAGATGTTGCGCTGCAGGACAGACTCAACCAACTGAGCCACGTCAGCCAGGGCTGGCATAGTTATTTTAATCAGTGGCAAGAGGTGAGTGGCAGGGAAGGAGCGGGCCTGATCCTCAAAGGATTAGGGAGATGGACAACGGAACGTGGTAGCTCCAGGAGCAAAATGGCTGGGCACCAAACAAGAACACTGCTCAGTCTGTATAATCAAAGGAAATCAAGGAGTGCAAGACCAGAAACCGGAGAGCAGTCTCCAATAACGGATCACAATTCTCTGCCCAGTGTTTAAGTCTGAGCCAATTTTTATATCTGAAAACAATCAACAGAGAAAAGCCTAGATCCCCAGAAGGAAGCCCTGCAATACCATAAAAGATGGACACGGTAATAATTTCCCCAGTTCTTCCCCAGAGGGTTCTTTGCAATTACTCTCGCTAACCACCATATGTTGGGGGAATGAGAACATCAAAACATTTCTCAATAGCATGGCAGAAACAGGAATCCGCCTACCTTCTAGTAAGCTTTCCATGAAAGAGATTTGCAAAACTATAAAAGCATACCAATCTTCTATGTTTTTTGCTTGGGAAAATGTGGTTACTTTTTTCATGTAAATATGTTATTTTTACTAATATGTAATATGCTCATGAGTATTGTTTTTACTGAATTAGTAAATATTTAAAATTTTGTTTTAATATTTTATATGGTAAATATCAATAGGCATAACCCATGTGAACAAAAGCTTTTTAGAGTCTTCAATTTTTAAGGGTTTTTAAGGGGTCCTGAGACAAAAAAAAAAAAATGTTTAAGAACTGCTGCAACAGACAATACCACAAGCCAAGCTATCTTGGGCAACTGGCATAGTCTCTCTGCCCAAGTTACCTCATGTGTAAAATTAGGAGTTAATACTGCACATGTAAAGTAATTAGAATGCCAGTAGCACAGAATGACAGATATATAGCCATTATTAATATTATTATATAATCTCTGTGGAACAGGAGGCAATAATGCCTGTTGAAATTGATGGAGGAAGAGATGGGCAGTTTAAGAGAAGATTTGTTAAAGCCATGTGGAAAATGAAATGATAGCTCTACCTAGGAAAATACAGGAGGATTGAAGAACAATTCTGAGAGTCCTTGTGGAGGTTAGTGACTTTGGATTTAGAGTAAAATGATAATTACATAGTTTTGTTTTTCCTTAACAGCACTTAGAAGTCCTGTGTTGGGGGGAGGGCGTTGCGGGGGAGCCAAGCTGTTGACTTGGGAATATTTCAGTCAGTTTCATCAGAAAGAAAATAAGGCATATTGCAATGGATGTTATAAACTGTGCCTTATAAACGGGGCTAAAGAAGGGAGAAAGCAGAGCGATGCTTTACACGGAGAAAATCGAAGGGTCAAGAGATTTTGAGGTCCTTTTTAAGAGGGAAGGCAGAGTGAGAATTGGTAGGGTGGGCAGTTGGATGGCTTGTTTGAGTTTTATACTTCGTGGTGGAGGAGACCCCCTGACGACAAGACCTGACGAGTGGCCCTGAGAGTGGGTGCCTGCAGCTGGGTGGTGATGGCTCTCAGGGATGAAGAAATCAAGGCCCCAAGAGCACGCGTCTTCCATTTGGAGGTTAATGCAACTCCGGGTGACGGCAGAAGTTGGAAGTCAAATTCCAATGCTTTCCATCAATAAGCTGCGGGTAAAATTAGTAACAACGAAGGATAAAAAGCATGGCTACTTAGAATGGAGGAATAATGATCTGTGCGAGGCACTGGGAGCCAGGGGACGGACCCCATCCCCTAACACAGGGAGGAAGCCTGGGGAAATGACACTTGGGAGACGCCTAAGCAGCCTTTGCCAGGGAGAGGACGTTAGGGTTCAGTGCCGGGAGGGAAGCACACCCTAGAGCCCCAGAATGGGGCAGAAGCTCTTCACAAAAGAACGCAATTCTAGAAGGTCCAGTGGAAACAAGAGACACCCGAGGGTCTCCCCAGGCAACTGAAGGCACAACTTGTGCGGCAAACAGGAGAAACAGGACATGAGGAATAGGGGATGTAAAGTTCCCTAACGAATGAGGCCAGAATTTTCTGTTTGAGTCAACTGATGGAGTAGTACTAAGTTTGTGAGTTCATGTACCAGATCCTTCTAGGTTTTTCTCTTCCTTTAGATTTCTCCTTTTCTGAAAAAATAAAACTGAGGGGCCCTTCCCATCCCTTTGGGTCCTGTGTTCCCATCTTTCCTCTTGCCTCCGGCCCCCTCTCTTCCTGTCGGGCCCTCCAGCGAGCGCGACGAGCCCGGTCCCTCCCCCCGCGGCGCCGCAGGAGACGAGGAACCTGGGCGGTACGAACAGAAGTGGGCGGGCCCTTTCTTGCCGACGCGCTGCCGTAGGACGCTGTGACGTCAGAGGACATCCGGTCCAGCTCCAGGGGTCCGAAAGTGACTCTGTCCTCCTCCCTTGGATCTCAGTAGCTTCTAACCCGGAATCGTGGTCCACGAGCCGATTTGCAGTGGCCGCGGGCCGGCGCCACGCCATTCCCTGCGCTTGTGCTCGCGGAGTGCGCCCGGCCTCCCCGCCAGGGTGAGCGAGGTCGGCCCGGAGCGCGCGAGGGAGGGTGTCCCGCGGGCGGGTGACGGCCGCCGGTTCCGGGAGCCGCGTGGCACTCCGCCGTCTTCCCTGGCTGCCCCTCACCCCGCTGGTGTTCCCACGTCAGGCTTTCCCTCCAAAACTGCAGTGACCCCGTGCCTGTTTGCTCATTTGGTGACAGGGAGCACATTCTGAAGAAGTCAGAGCGTTACTGGACAAGGGCTTAAACCCATACACGGCTGAGAAAAAGAAATGGCTCTTTAAACTTCCAAACCAAACTGGAGAAAAAAAAAATGAGGCTCAGTTTTCTCAGCGGATTCACCTCTGGGGATGTAGAAAACTCACCCCTGGGGACGATCACCCTGTGATTATTCTCTGAGTTCTGGTCGCCGCAACCTGACACGTCTTTTTTCAACCTGTAGATTGTCATTTTAAATACTGGAAGGGTGATCTAGTGGACTTGGGCATTACTTAAGGAGCCACCTACTAAACTTCCTGACTTGTCTGTCCATATTTTTAAGTTGCAGCTTACCATCACTTGGTTTTTGATTGGCTAATCTAACAGAAAAGTTGAAACCCGAAGTAGGAAAACTTGAAAGAGTGACCTTCGTGGTGTTTCCAGTACAAGCTGGTGCATGATTTGCTGTACCGTAATATGCCCTTTGAATAAGAAATATACAACTCTTCCAGGTGTGCATCCTTGGAACTCTGCCCATGTGTCATGGACACGCTTTGACTTTTCAGTCAGAATGTTTATGTCTAGAGGGAGGTTGTATGTCACAGTCACCAGTGGAATTTGAGCCTATCCTTGGCAGTTTAGAATTCGTAGGTGGTAAGGCCTAGGCGTCCAAATCGGTATTTTTAGGAATTTCTACAGTTGATCTTTGAAAGTCATTTTTAGAAAAGACTTAAAAAAATACGTATTTTGAAGAATATTGAGAAATTTGAGATTCAGGTTTGAAAGCAAGCCCATAGCTATTAGCGTTATCTCTTCATTGAGTGCTGGATAGATGCCAGGTGGACGTTGTCAAGAAAGACAGGGCTGGAATCCTCAGGGAACTTGGGGCTTTCAGACTGATGCAAAGCCAAGTAAAAATTGTTCTTTAGAAAAAATCTTGTCCTACTAAATGTGGCAGTTCTTTTAACTAAGCGATGAAAGCCGGTTTCAAATTTTAATGAGGATAAATTTCTTGGTTTATTTAAAATAACAAATGCAACTTAGCAATTATATATTCTCTGCTCCTTGTGCTGAAAGGGGGAAAATGCCGAAGAAAAAGACCGGTGCGAGGAAGAAGGCAGAGAACCGCCGGGAGCGGGAGAAACAGCTTCGAGCTTTGAGAAGCACCATAGATTTAGCTAAGCACCCATGCAACGCTTCAATGGTAACAGCGTCTTACGATACCAGCTGATAGTTGGAAAAACTATGAATATATCCATTATCTGAAAGACACCTGAATAAAATGTTAGCGAATACAGTGTTGCTGGATATATTTCATAGAATTTGAAATCTGTCTTAGAGGCTTATCCATTGTTTTCATTAACACTGAGTAGCAATGAGTTCTGTTTGGTTTTATGTTATTTATGAAACCTAGCATATTACCTGTTAGCATGGCTACTGTTGGTAAGTAGATCCTGACCTAGGATACATACTAGGGTCTCTGCGAAGGATTTTGCAGCCTCTCTCACCTGCAGTTGGTCCCATCCAACTTCTCTTCGTTTCAGCGATTCTTTTGAACTCATTCGATTTCCCATTTCTAAACTTTCCACCGTTCTGGACATCTCTCAGTGTCCTGTTCTATTGCCTTCTTTCCCTGTGCTGAGTGGATTAGTCCTGATCGTTTCTGGGAGTCTTTGGTCAAAGTGATGAAAAGTAAAAGATTATTTATGCCAGCGTTCCCCCTCCTCTTCCTTTGACCGTGTTTCTCTGAGTTGTCCCATGTTTCCCTATTTCTGCTTCAATCTACTTTTTCTGTTCCCACTACCCCTCTTTTTTCTTCTTCTTTTGTTTTATCAAACACATGGGAAAGGTTTTTAACTGCACAACTATGGTGAGTCTCCCGTGTCAGGTAGTATTTTAGGCGCTGTGGGGGGACACATGGCCGAATACACAGTCCTGTTCCCACAGGTTCATGGATCGGTGGTTTGGTGCATTACTTAAGAACTGTTTGTTTATAAATGGCAAACCCAACTTAAGTAACCAGGGAGAAATAAAGTTTCTGGAAAGAATAGTGGACTAACTTGTAGTTAGGCAGGGCTAGGATATAGCTGGAACATAGGGGCAGCTGGAACCTGGAACCACCTAGTAGTTTTGTCTTTTGCTTACTAGTTCCATTTTTTCCCAGGTTGTCTTACTTCATTTCTTTGGGGTCCTCGGCACTGGTATCTTGCGTATCTCACATCATATATTGTTGCCCACAGAGAGGGAAAGAACTCTGATACTTTGGTCTTGGGCAGGTGCCATTTCCAGGGCAGGCATTTACGGCTCAGGTGGGGGACAGGGAAGAAGGGTTACACAGCACAAGGCAGTGGGGACTCCTTCAGTGTGTCAGGGCCCTTTCTAGAGACGGGGGGGATGGGGCAGGCAAAGCAAGACATGACTCGCTTGGGTACGTGGAAGGACAGCCCGACTGTGGTGAGCATTGCAGCGGGGGCGCGAGGCTAAGAGGGGATAAAGTTGCGTGTGGATGGAGTGTGGTTCGCAGAAGAGGAGGGATCGTCAGCAGAACTTCCAACAAATAAAGACCGAAGAGGGACTTTTCAGAACAATGTATTAGAACAAATAAGGCATAAAAAAGAGAGTTCAAGGCATATTTTGAGAATGGTGGACAAAAAGTGACTTGAACTTAAAGAGGATAGGTGGCAAGGTTTGAGAAGAGGTTAGGGACCAGATTGTTGAGAATTTTTAATAACATGGTTAAGATTCTGGACTTTCTGTAAACTTCGTCATATTCTGTGCACTATGGTTTCTTGTGTCTATTCTTCATTATTTGTGTGATTCATTCAAAAAAAGAAACTACCTCTGAATTTATCCTGTTTGGTGAAAATACCACTTCTCTCTAGAGTAGTATGCCCGAGAGCACTCGTTTGATCTGTGTGGATGTTTTTGTAAACTGGGGGGGGGGGGGGGCGCGAGGGGGTGGTGCTGGAGGATTTGGGGGAAATATCACTTAAATTTTAACACGAAGAACAGGATGTTCTTTTTAATGCGAGTAAGTTTGCAGTTTTCAACCAGTAGAAAATTAATGCCATATTTATATATTTTACAGGAATGTGATAAGTGCCAGAGGTAAATTTTTATTTATTTTTCTACCTGTATCTAACAATACAGAACCTCAGATCTTTTGTCTGATATTTACTGAATTTTAAAATTTTATTTTACATGACAAGGCGGCAGAAGAATAGAGCGTTTTGCTACTTTTGTAATTCTGTACAGAAGTTACCAATTTGTGCACAGTGTGGTAAGTATATAATGAAGGGCATCTGCGTTTTCTTTTATCAAACATTTGTTTGGCAATTAATCAATTTGAAGCTGTGGGTTTATAATATCATTGTTTATAATAATGTTGTGCCTTACCATTAATAAAATAACGGAAAATGTTAATAAGCTTACCAAAACACTACCAAGTCTTGATTCTGTCTCTGACATAATGCTAAAAGACAGTTCAAATCCAGGTTAGATATAGGTTACCAACATGTTGTTTTAAACATTAAAAGGTCAGATTTCAGACTAATGATATTTGATGATCCTGAACTTTTAATGATACTGCCCTTAGTCTTGTCTATGTCTATTTGTTTATTTTTCTAAATTTTGATCCCTGCTGTTAGTGTCTGTAGTATATTAGATCTTTGGGAATAATTTTGTTCCACATTTATCTGGTGCCAGTTTTTGTGATCAGTTATTTTTTTGTTTGGCATTCAGCATGACTCTTGAGTTTTTTCCCCCATGGATTCCCAGGTGATTGGCAAAGTGTTCCTAAGCCACATACTCAGTTCCCAAGAATAAGTGAAAACTTTTATTAAGAGTAAATGATAGCTCAGAATAAAACTTGAATGGTAGTTCACAGAACAAGTTCCACATTTGTCAAATAGTCGTCCTCTGAGTACTTGAGGTACAATGTATACATTTGAGAAGTGCTGCATGTTTCATCCCTTCCTTCCCATCTGGAGATGCTGTTACATAGTTTCTGAAGACCTCCCATAATGAAATACAGATACACTCCCCAAACTTTTATTTGAACCCCTTTTGGTTTTGGGGTAATAGTTTCAGATGGAACAACGTTTGGGGATATGCACATTTGATTGGGTTTACATATGATAACGCTGCAGAAAGTTGAGAGCTATATCCCTGAATATTTCTAGTGTAGTTCTAGCTTTCGAAGAATACATCGTTAATGAAAGACATAATTAATGAGAGAGTACTGGCTTCGATAGACCACGTATCTGCCAGTTTTTATTCCTTATTTTACAAAAAAAAAAAAAAGAAAATAGAGTGAGAAAATAATTTATGGAGGAGGTGAAGTTCTTGCTAGGACCTTCCCATAATTTTTGGGTTTTGAGCTTAGATGGTGTAGTGCTGGATGTCGGTGCCTTTCCCACTTACTGATTCTTGTACTTCGTGTTAGGCATGGGACAGGTGGGTGGCCGCTGCCTCTCGTTTCCCATTTCCTTTCTTCCCATTTCCTGTTGTCTAGCTTTGTTCCTCAGGCAGTCAGGATAGTGGAAGGCTGAGTATCTTCTGTTTCTTTTCATGTTCCACTTCTGTGAGATGGGCGATTAATATGTCATCATTAATCTTCACATAGTATATGATAAGTGAATTTCCTGACCGTGTTTCAGGTTGGTAATTTGCTGCTACATCAGAGTTTTTGTGGCTGTACTGTGATTTTTAGCTCTGTGACCATATTGCTGGTTTTTGTGCTCACTTGGGGACTATTTGAGAATTCTCTTGCAAAAATGTTTACTTGGAGGCTATGCTTGTAAATTTTTACATATGAATATACTTAAAAAGTGAACCAGATAAGATGCATAATCACCGCTTGGTTTGGTTTGAGATGTTTTGTGGGAAGAAATGAGCAAAAACTTTAAAGCAGACTGTTTTTAGAGAATTATGAAATGTTAAATTCATTTTAAAGCATAGCTTTTTAAAATACGTTTTAATTCATCTGAAAATTCACCAGATTTTAAGCTGCTATAATGATGATTAGGTTAGAAAGCATAACCTGCAATTTCTGATTTTATTACAGATAGGAAGTAACATCGGTGTACAACTTTATTGTGCAATCAATTTTTAATAAATTTCTAATCTCAAAAGATTTGACTCAAGTAATGAGATCTCAGTTATATCCATTTTCTATCTTTGGTTGTATAAGAAGTACACTGCTGATGTCTACCCATTTTAAATTATTGCCATAGGAACTTAGGCTGGGGAAAGAGAAGAATTGATGAACGCTTGCATGTACTACTTTGCGAGGCTAATAGTGCGCATTTGTTTCTTTACCAGGGAAAACAAAGTGCATGATGAAGTCATCGGACTGTGTCATAAAGCATGCTGGCGTGTACAGTACCGGCCTTGCGATGGTGGTGAGCTTCCTGTCACCCTCTTCCAGACCAGCGGTTTTAACCGGTGCGCTGCAAGAAATTTTAAACAGGAAATACCTGCCTCTTTAGTCAGGAGCACTGACCTCATTTCCCTTAGAGTGTCAAAAAATGACAGCAGCCAACACAACAATAGCAATCTGGTGTGAGTGAATCAAAATTATACTTATTTTTTTTAATCAGATTCGCTAAACATACATTTTTGGTGTGCCTCAGAATGTTAGTAATTAGTTGATGTGCGCCATGAGATGAAAAGGTTGAAAATCGCTGTCTTAGACTAGTAGGTGTCTGAGGATAAGAAAACGTTGTTCTGACCAATGGTTATTTTTTATAACCACTGTATTTTATAACCATATACTCACACTGTTTTGTCCCTTGGTTCAGTCAGTCTGTAGTTATCTCAGTGATCTGTGGCATGTGTTTTTTGTGTGATTTTCCCTTTATTATCCACTTGTTTTTGATTGCTTCCTTTTTTCCTTATTCGGAAACAGACAAGGAATGAAAATTTATTTCGTGTTGACCTTAACAGAAATTCATTTGTCAGTGGTACCCTTCTAATGTGTCTTAATTAGACTTCATAGAATGTCATAATGAAAACTCTGTTCAAGCTTTTGGTTAAATAAGCAACCTAGTTCCAAAAGAACCTAGGGTTAATATTTTTTTTAAGCTTTATATTTCCAAAGAAGTACATACTTAATATAGAGTTATACATAATTTCTAGGTTACATGTAGAATTTCCTAAGGCAATTTATTGTTCTAAATAATAAAAACATGTTTTGTGTGATGTATTTTACTCTCTTTTTACTGAAAGTTATCCTTTTAACCAGTTTTACTATATTCCATTGTATGATTTAATGCTCTGGTCCAAATTTCAGTCCACAATGAAAATAATACTGGTGTACTCAAGCAGTATATTTTATTTGCAGTAACTTTCCAAGAACATATAATTTTTCATTAAGAGGCAGATCTTTATTTGATATGTTTCATGTGGACATAATCTTATAGATGCAAGGAGCTAGAATCCATAATCATCTTGTGAATTCCTCTTTATTTTAAATACAGGATTGTCAATGTTATGTTTCAAAAACCGGTCAAAGATCTAAAACCCATCATAATCTTACTTGGTATCTTGCTAATATCTAAATTTATCAAACACTTCCTAATTCACCGAGTTGTGTGAGTCTTTATGATCTTTTCTTACATAAAGAAAACACTTCAGTAAAATCATGAATTATTGGTTAGGAATTTTAGGGAAGGGATTTACCCGTCCATATTCCTTCTCCCTTCCCGTCTCCATCCTGCTTTGCCCTTGGAGCCTGACCAGGTCATGGCTTTCTTACCTTATTACTTCTCTTTGGTTCATCCAAGGAGAGACCCTGGCAGGGTATCTTAAGATGGAAGGACAATACCATCTGGGTCTTTATTCTCCTTCCAGCTCACTCCCTACCGGGCTGACCTGGTTTGGCTATGGATTGGGCACAATTCCTCTCCATATGGCTAAGTAACCCTCACCATATGGCTCTCTCTTGGGGTTCTGGTGACTCTCCTGTCTTCCCCTTGTCTCTTCAGGCCCAGTGTCGGTAACTGCACCACCGCTTGATGTTTCTTCTCAGCCTTTCCCTGTCCTTTGTCAAGTATCTCTTTTAAACTCCTGGATTATCCAGTGCAGTGTGCCATCTTTTTTGTGGTTAGAACCCTGAGTGATCCAAGAGACATTTGAGGATTTGGTAGGTTTGCTGATAATCCATTTTTGTAAGTCATAAAACATTTTTCCCATTTGTTCTGTACTATTTTTGTTACAGAGCCTTAAATGCTGTAACACTGAACTGAGGTTCAGAAGACCTAGAATTAAATCGCAGCTCCTCTATGATGCATCTCTGCGATTGGGACTTGGTCTCGTGCTCCTGATCCTCATCTGTAAAGGAAAGACCTTTCGGTCCATTAAGACTTGTTCTAGTTCTTAACAGCCTGTTGATCTTATGTTTTTGAAAAATATAGTCCTACCATCTTACTTCATATAGAATTGGAGAGTCTTATCCTATTATTGAGTTCTGTATTTTATTTTCAGTTCTTTCACAAAAAAACATGGTAATTGATTTAAAGCATATGTTCCCTTAAGAGAAAAAAGGATGCTGAAAGAAGTTTCATATTTTCTCTAAGTTATTCTAGAAATTTTCTGAAGTCAGAGATACTAGTATTTGGAAACACTCAATTTCGGTAGTGGGGTTACTACAGACAGAAAGCGTGAGCTGCGCACTCCAGACGTCACTTGAATTAGATTCGGTCTGCAGGCCACACTTCCCGCTCCTTGACCGACTTCAGTGATTGATGCTGGGGTGAGTGGGGAGTTTCCCCCTTGCTTCTTTTTCTTTTGATTTATAGCTAAGATTTGTATATTATAAATAGCTGTTGGTAGAGTAGTTTTCAGAGAACCCTCTTTAATTTTGGTTTAAAGAGTAAACTTTTATCTTCAGTGACGGCACCCACTATCACTGAGAGGTGATAAATTGCTAAATGTGTACAACTTTGATGGTGATTTTCAACCTTTTTCATCTCATGGCACACATAAAGTAATTAATAAAATTCTGCAGCATGTCAAAAAATATATTTGTTGCTGATCTGACTAAAAAAAAGAAACCTATAATTTTTTTTTAAATACAGAAAATAATAATAATGGTAATTACCTACTCTTTTTGCTCCAAAGTGACTTTTTAAAAAAATCAGGTGCGTATACTTGTATATAAGGATTTCTGGTACCAAGAATTAACCTATCAGACTCAACCCAATTATGCGATGTGACCAGTAAGATGTAACTCTGTTACGTGACCTCTATATTTATGATCCAAGACAGGGCATTCACACAGATGGTTTTGTGTTGCCTGTTATTTTTTATTTTACAATCTAAGAGAAAGGAGGTCAGTGCCCCTGACTGAATAGTCAGGAATCGTATGTTTTAAAACTTCTGTAGCACACCGGTTGAAAATCGTGGGTTAGACAGTGGTTGCAGTCATTCAGGTGACACAGATTAATTTCTCGTGCTTGTCGGTTGCAGGGTGCCATATGTGACTTCTGTGAAGCTTGGGTTTGTCATGGGAGGAAGTGTCTCAGCACACACGCCTGTGCCTGCCCTCTCACTGATGCTGAGTGCGTGGAGTGTGACCGAGGGGTCTGGGACCACGGTGAGTGACTTCATACCGCTCAGAGAGAAGGCTGACTTTGAAATGTTCAGGATACTCTGTTTAAGATTCTTTTTAGGATATAGTCGGTCTAAGGACTGACTCTGTTAGTTATCAGGGTGGTCGGAAGAGGGATTGACTGACAGTTGCAGTATCAGCCAATGTTAGTAGCTAATTTGAGCATTGTATTACCAACGTATAGCCCAGAGATCGTGGGAGTCCACTTTTTTATGGTTCATTTGGGCGGTTTTCATTGTAGCCTTTACTAGAACAAAAACACTCCTATGTCATCTTGGTGCAAGTCTGAAATAACTTGCTGTCCTTTTCTGAGCAGTTCTATAGATACGAGTTTTTTAAATTAAAGCTTATCATATTTACATTTTTGGGTTTTGTTTTTTAATCTAATAGGAGGCAGAATATTCAGCTGTTCCTTTTGCCAGAACTTTCTCTGTGAAGATGATCAATTTGAACATCAAGCCAGCTGCCAGGTTTTAGAGGCGGAAACATTTAAATGTAAGTTTTTATATCTAATAATGTTCTTTATACCCAAGTTTCTTAACAGTCTAAGTATTAAACAGTGAAAAAGGAATCTAGTTTTTCATGCAGTCTCTTACAGACTGTAATTTAGCTCAATATCTATTTTCTGTTTGTAGAAAAGATCGATAATGCATCCATTTTTCTTTTTGTAGTGGTCTTTCGGTGGGGCCAGTTCTTCATTTAGTGGGATTGATCAGGATTCACTGGTCCTGAGTACAAAATGTCATTTTCACCTCCAAGTTGTTATAGCAGTCCCCCTCCCTTTCCCCCCCCATTTCCAAATGCTCCCAAGTAAGTGATACCGCCCCTGGCTTGTTTCCAGTCATCCTGAGACAGGTATATACATCAAAAACACCCGTGGAGGGTTTGTTTTTTTTAAGTACAGGTGCTCAGGTCTCATCCCTGGAGATTCTATATTTAAGTCTGCGGTGGGTAGCAGGCATGTTCGTAACCTGCACACATAATTTTCAAGTGTCTTCCAGTTTGAGAATCAGTGTTACTGACTGACTGGGTGACATTATCTTCGCAGATCGATTGCATTTTATTTCTGCTTTAATGATTCTCAAAAGTTCACATTCTGGGCTTAAACATTACTGGATTTCTCCTTGTTGGCTCTATGATTTTGGTCAAATCACTAAATCTTTCTAAACCTGAGTTTCCTTAAAAGGAAGATCCTAATTTCTTTTTCAAAGAGTTAATTGAAATGAGAATCCATAAAAAGAGAAACATTAGAATAGTACCTCACACTTACAAAACCCTTATTGAACAGTAGACACCATCATGGGAGAAACTGAAATCCCCCAGATATTCACTTCCTTGAATTTGGTTCTTGTTTTGGTATCAAGTGTTAATCCTTATATTCATTATAAATTTAAAGTTGATGACATATAAGTATGTCATCATATATAAAATCACACATGTCATAATTAGATATGTGAGTAGCTATATCTAAGACACATATATGTATATCAACTTTGTATAATTCTTACAGTACTTATGTAGAAATTCTCAAAGATTAAAGGAACATCTCAAAGTATATGAGTATAGCTGTTACTGGTTTCCTTCTGTTGGAAATTCAATATCATTTTTATATATCCTCTAGATTATGGTATGAGACAGAAAAAAACTTAGTAATTGATTTAAGATGAATCCCACAGATTTATCTTAGATCAAGTATGAATCTCTGGGAAACAGTGTTTTTATTCCAAGTTTGAATTTGAACAATATGTTTTTTCCCCACAGGTGTTTCATGCAATCGGCTTGGTCAACATTCTTGTCTTCGTTGTAAGGTATGTTTGTGTGTTTTTTATATTTAGGTTTTGTTTTTAATCCCCATTCTCCATGACCATTCCTTGGATTACTTTTGGCTATCATTCTACATTGTACATTAAACATTTAGTTTCTTTTATTTTAGAGATCGTGGAGCTGAGAAAGCTTTAGTGCCTTTCCAAAGGCCATCCAGTTGGCTTGTCTCAGAGTTGACACTGGTACACGTCTCCTGAATCTTAGCTCAGTGTACTTATACTTTAGGTTTCTGGAGAACATTCTGACTAAAATGGTGGGACTGTATTTATTTAATGTCAAATGGCACTTGGCTTAAAGGAGTGAAGATTTCCATAATCTTTCTCCTCTTAGAACTTGTCCCCAGCATTTCTTTTGTCAAAGATGAGTAGATGCAGCCGATTCACTTTCCCTAAGAAATATTTTTCTGGTACTTGCTGATACCCTAACCCTACCTTACTTCCTTCCCTAGCCTTCTCCAATTTTGTGTGTGCTGCTTCCTCTGCCTTAGAGTCCTCTCCGATCTTTACTGCACCCCCTTCTCCTTCAGATCTCAGCTGAGCCTTCGTGGTTTCTTTCCTGAATCCTGTGTTGGGCTTAGTGCCCCTCCTCTGCACTTCTTTTTCAATGCATAGTGTCTCATAGTAGCCTCTCTGCTTGTCTGTCCCCAGTTAGGTTGCTTACCATCAGAGGGTAGGTGGGCTCTTCCCCACTGTGTCACCAAGGGCTTTGTGAATACTAATGTGTTATGAATGGATAGATGTGTGTACATGTCACACCCTGAATATAGTTTCTGCCTTGGGTTAGGTCATAGTTCTGAAGAGTCCCGGCAAAGGCCCGTTCCCTTAAGAAATTAAAATCGGGAGTGTGACCAGTCCCAACAAAACTCTCAGTCTCTGCCCTAACAAATCGTATGTTTAAATTTCTTTGAAATATTGAATGATGTCTTTGTCTATTTTTAGAATTATTGTTTATTGTTACTTCTCCTTTATAGGCTTGTTTCTGTGATGATCATACAAGGAGCAAGGTGTTTAAACAAGAGAAAGGAAAACAGCCTCCCTGCCCCAAGTGTGGACATGAAACGCAGGAAACCAAGGATCTCAGCATGTCAAGTAAGGCGCTTGAATCTTCAGATGCTGGAGCGGGGGGGATTTTGCTCTCATGCTTAGAAAAGCTTTATCTCCTTTTCCTCTATTTTTGTTTTGCCTCTTTTTCCTATTTGAGAAGATTAATGTGTTCTTTTAAGGAATGAGAATTTTACAGCCTTGGAAAATATATAAGTAAAATTTCTCAATTTAACTTAAGAAATAATACCATTATTCACTTCGATATTTGGCATTTGCCTCAGCTAATGACATAGTGAATATTGAAATTTAGGACCGAAAAAAGTGATTTTTATGGTTTCGCTGAGGCTTCCTTGTTAAATAATTGAGTAGCTATAAATCCTTAAAATTCAAATGCTGGTAATCTTCAGTACTTGAAAGCTGGAATTCTTTCTGAAGCTCTTCTTAGGTGTGTGGTATCTGCACAGCTGCGCTTACTCTGTACTGTGTCACCACTGTGGGAAATTGCTTTCACTTTTCTATGAAGGAATAAGACTGTCATGCACATTTATAGTAATGCAGCTAACAGAATTTGACTCTTTACCAAACATGTCAGAATGGAACGATAATTCTAAATGATTTTGTTCAAAGATATAGTCCTACCATGAGGTGAGGCTGAAGCTTTTGCTGATTTTTTTTTTTTTTTTTGCACTAAACTTTGTGTTACTAATAAGAAATGAAAGCTTCATCTTCTAGGACATCTCAGTTATAAAATTGCTCTCAAGAAAAATGCGGTGACATGAAATCAACTCCTATGATTTGAAAATAAACTTTTCATTGATCAAACAAAGGGCACTTTATACTAATTTTTAACATGCCTTATTTAACTTACATTTAGAGAGTGCTTTCATTTTGTTTTCCAACTTTTTCTAGATTTAATGAGATAACTCTGTCACCTTTACTATTTGGTACATGTGCTGTGTGTGTAGACTCCAAGTAGGATATAACTGATTGATGTTTTTTCAGGTCTTCTTTCTTTCCACTTAAATATTGTTAGGAAATTAGGAAAAACGTGGCTTCATTTGGGAGTAAGAAGCAGCCAGACGAGTTCATGTAACTTTATATATTGTGGAGGGAAACGAGGATGCAGAGAACGGGAACCAATAAGGTGCCATATAAACTTATCTGTGTTTTGTAGCGCGCTCCCTGAAATTTGGCAGGCAGACTGGAGGCGAAGAAGGAGATGGAGCGGCTGGGTACGACGCCTACTGGAAGAACCTTTCATCTGCTAAATATGGTGACACCAGCTACCATGACGAGGAGGATGACTATGAAGCAGAGGATGATGAAGAGGAAGAAGATGAAGGTGGAAAGGATTCAGATGCTGAGCCATCAGATCTGTTTACTAATTTGAATTTAGGAAGGACCTACGCCAGTGGCTACGCGCACTATGAGGAGCAGGAGAGCTAGGAGAGCCGCTTGCCCGTCGGCGACCTGGTCTGAGAGGGGCAGGAAGGTGTGCGCGTGATGAATTGTGTGCGTGCGTTCAAAGGGCCGTCACCCAGCCTTGTGCAGGGTCACCGTTACTGGGGCGAAGAGCAGGGCATAGCATCTTTATAGGAAATGATAATCAGGCTTACAGCGTAAGAAAAGTGGATTTCAAATGTGAGATATTTATTAATACAAACAATTGAAGCATCATGGATTGGACTTTTACTGATTTCAGTAACCTGGTAGGTTTTGCCAATTAGACACATAACACAGGATAAAGGAATAGGAGGGTAATATATATGAAATTAAATTGCTGTTTTTACGAAAACCACTGCTTATGAATTCATTCTGTCTGATTTTTTAAATATGTAATGGGTAAAATGAATTACTGTATTTTCCTTTTTATGTCCACAGAATACAAGTTGGATGTTATATGCTGAATTTTCATTAAATCTTCATGTTATCTTATATAGTCATGACTTGCATGCTTTAGCAGTTGATTGATTTCTTCACAGTGTATTTTTTGACCCGTGCCGACTAAATGCCAAAGTGGATAGAAGAAGGTGACTATAGAGCCATCTTTCAGACACATAATCAGAAATAGTATTACACGGATAGTTTACCTAGGAAGTTCTTTTTTTTGAGTAAATCTAGTATTACAGTACATACTTTTGATATTTAACTTCTCATTCTAAATTTTTTTAACTTTGGGAAGTGTTCTAATATTTTTTATAATGTTTGCTTTTTTTTGTCTAATATGTGAAATGAGCAGCAGAGAGTAATATCGTGGTGGACACACAGTCACGCAGCCAGAGCCCGTCACTCGCGGTGGCAGTGGAGAGCAGACAGTTGCTGACACAAGATCCAGCTGTTGCAGCTTAGCTGGCAGTGAGTTGGGATGGAGCGGGAGAAGGAAGTGCATTATCGGGCTGGCTGGCATTTGAGAAGTACAGAAAATTGTAGCTCCGAGGATGGCAGGGTTGGGAGGGTACTGCCGACGGTTCTTACTCTGCAGAAACAGAACGAACAGCTCAGGGCAGCGCTAAACAATGGAGGAGCAGGTGTGACAGCCAGAGGCCTCGGGTGTGACAGCCAGAGGCCTCGGGTGCTGCGGAAAAAGCTTTCATCTCTCGCAGCAGCAGGATCTAATAGCCCGGACGGACCTCAAAGACGGCTGCCAGTCAAGGCCGGTCTGTAATGTGGGGGTTGAGGCACGGCGTGGGGGAAAACACAGACCTTGACAAGTGACATGCAGACATCTGAATGGGTGCCGCTGCAGGTTTTCACTCCCTGGCTCCTGAACTCCCTGAGTCAGCAGTCCTAGCCCGCCCTTCTGCTAAGCACGAGCACCCCCCATCCCGTCCCCAAGCTGGACGGCAACTTCCCCAGGCACCGTGGCCCCCTTCAGAATTCGCCTGTGAGCTGCTAGGCCGAGAATGGGGTTCCACAAAACTCAGCTGGGCCCGAGCAGAGGAGAAACCACTATAGCCCGAAGCGGCTGTAAGAATGGGCCGGCGCGTGCTGGGGGGCGCGGGGGAGTACGCTTGGGAGTTTGATCCGAGGGTTCGGATAGAGGGGATCAAGACAAAATGAGGGGGCCATCTGACAGCTCCATATCGGGCCCGTGGGTGGCAGGACTTCAGCGAACAGGACTTGACATCCCAGCCAGGATCCCAGGGGGTGGGGGAAGGCTTCTGGAAACATGGAAAAAGCTATGGCCGATTCTGAGCAAAGCTGAGATGCCAGCTTTACGGTGGCAGATGGCGGAGGAAAGGACTGAAGGGCGAGGAAAACGGATACGCTGGGATGGCCAGATTATCTTTGGCTGGAAGATCCGCCCGATGATTATGTTCAACGGAGAGGCCCGGGGACAAACCATTGAACAAACAGGGCCATAAAGAAAGGAGTTGATGGGCGCAGCGTTGGGGACAAAGGCACTAAAAACCAGTGGTGACTGCAGGTTCCTGCTCATAGTAGAAACTAATACAAAGCCTTGTTTGCTGATGGCCAAGTGGCAACGCGTAATTGCCGAAAGCCGGGGAGGGGGCACACGAATCGTAAAGACTCTTCCACTGAGAGCGATGAGCCAAGGAGACCGACGTGCAGAGAGTTACAAAGAAGCCTAATGGAGACTGCATCTCCCTTAGGGGTAAAATAAACTGACCGGGGATGTTTTTCTTCCCACCTCCAACTGGGGCTCTCCATGATCGGTCATTCTCTGTCCTCCAGGGGACACCTTTCTTCATGGTACCCAGTAAGCACTGCAGTGAATTACAAACTCTGCCTGCCAACTTGGCCGTTTGGGCTTTTTATGTCCAAGGGGTAGCATGGAAGAAGAGAAGTCGTGGTATTGGCAGAGTTTGGTGGCTCCATCAGGTGGCGGGAGGGCTGCCTGTATGTGATCAGGGCAGGAGGAATGTGCATGGAGGAGTCCAGGTGATTCACTGGGCTTTTCTCGGTGCTGCTTTGCTTCCTTGAGTATGAACATATACGGGAACTACCCTCGCCGGGGAAGGGGGTGGGGGCCGGATCCCCGTGGGCTGAGGCTCTGGGGTCATGCTACTAGGGAATCTGCTGAAACCAGCAGAGAGGGTAGCAGTCGGGTAGCAGGTGACACTAACGGGACTATTCCCCCCCTTCCTGTTGGTCATGGTTTAGTAAACTTTTTGCTGGATTATTGTAATGGTGTGTGTGAGGGTGACCTTTTGTGTCACCTGCAAGCTTCTGCCCATGCAGAATGTACTAGTCCATTTGAGAACGTGACTAGACCATAGCACAAACACCAGTGCTTTACAGAACACTCCCGGTCACTTACTTGCCTGATGGGAATGATTCAAAGGACGAAATATAATATATTAAATGCATAATAATACTGTATGGAATCAGACACAGTACAAATAATGAATTACGCATAGTGAAGCGATCTTAATCAAGAGTCAGAGTTAAGACAGTGTCTATGGAAGCTGGAGTGTTTCTGAGAAAGAATCTCTGGGGGAAGGCACAAGAACGTGCTGGCTGCTCTGGGCCCCTTTCCCCATCCTGCACTGAGAAAGCTGGCAGCAAGTCTCTCCAGACTCTTAGTTCTTCCTCCTCCACTGCAGGCATGTCCTGGGCTGCATCTGGGCCCCCATCCCCAGCTGTGACTGACCGAATCTCTTAAGGCGGTAAGTTGAGGCAGCTGTAAGGCTCATATAGTGTGTTTCTCATCTCTTGGGAATAAAGCGATCCCATTCATTACCTGATGGCCTGTGAGTTGGAATCTTAATTTCATGTATTTTGTCCCCCCTCCTTTTTTTCTGGTGGGAGAGTAGAGTTGGTCCCTGCTACTTCATTCTGGCTGAAGGGCAGTCGCATTCTTGACATATTTTACTGCATAGAAACTAGTCCGTTGGAGCTGATTCTTCTTTGACATTATTTTCTATCCACTTTTGCAAGGATTCTGTTAGTACCGATGACAAAAATCTATCTACAGTACTGCGTGTATCTGTTTCTAACTCTGTTAACTTAGTTATACATATATCTCACCTTAAAAAATCTTGTCAGTAGTTTTCCATCAGTATAATTCTTAATGTCACAGACGATACAAGTTTTAAAAATCATATTTAATGCAGGTTTCACGTTAAGTACATGTTTTCCTTGTCAGGAGAAATCATAGCAGCCAATGATCTTTGATTTAAAAAAAATTTTAAAGTTCCATTTCCATACTCAGAGAATGCAAGCCTTAAGGTTGACTTGGTGATAATCCTGGGGTTCTGGTGGATCTCTCGGGGAAGGTTTCATTTTTTTTTTATTTCCATATCCTAAAAATCGTTAGGCATCAGTGGCTCAATGGTGACTGAGAGGAAGGCACAAATAGAGGAGCAGAATTCTGCAGGTCCTCAGCGGGTTTACAAAGTTGCAAGTAACCCTGTGTCACCTGGTTCGGTTCCCCACCTGCTCAGGGGTCGTCTGCAGATCACTGAAGTCAGTTCATCCAAGTGCCTTAAATAGTGTTGTTGTTTTTTTCTTTCTTAAAGAACTACATACAGTTGTGTCTGTATCTTAACAGGAAATAATTGTTATACAGAATAAAGTCAGCCATATGTACCTGAGACTTAAATAGTTGGAATCATGAGATCCTGACTCATGGATTGATTTTCAAAGTTTCGGCAATGTTGAAAATTTTAGTGCTAGAATAATGGCTTTCCAGAGATGGCCACATCTTAACCCCAGGGAACTGCATGTTATGTTACACTGCAAAGAGGAATTGACGTAGCAGATGGAATTCAGTTTGCTACCCAGGTGATCTGAAAAGAAGGAGGTTACTCTGGGTTGCCTGGACGGCGCTCACAAAGGTGGAAGAGGGAGGCAGAAGGAAAAGTCAAAGAGATACGATGTGCAGGGGGCTCAGGTCTCCCTTGCTGGTTTTGACCATGCGGGAAGGGGACCGTGAGCAAGGAAACGGGCAGCTCCTAGAAGAAGAAAAAGGCAAGAAATGAATTCTCCATGCAGCCTGCAGAAAGGAACACAGTGCCGCCAACATCTTAATCATAGTGCAGCGAGACTTGTGCAGACTTCTCCTCTGCAGAATGGTCAGATAATAAGTGTGCATGGATGTAAGCCCCTAAGTTTGTGGGAACTCCTTCCAGCAGCAACCGGGAATTGCTGGAATAGCCTTCGTTATCTCCTGCACCTTAAACGAAACAATAGCGCTTTGGCCTGTGGCTGGAATGTTTTCGCACAGCATCGTCATTATTTTCAAAAACACCTAAATGCTCCCAGAGTTGATAGTGAAGTAATTAGTAGCTAACCTGTGAGGTACGTGCAGAAATGTATAGCAATAAAATTTCTCAAAAAGGGAGGAGAAAACGAAGTCTTCCGTCACATTGTCTGACGGTGTTTGAATTAAGGAAGTGATTTAAAACTGACTCATGACACTCTGTGCTCTTTGGGATGCTGTCACGAGGCTGCAGTGAAAACAAAAGAGGATAAAATACTGATACTGGCAGTCATCAAGGCCGTTATATTTGGTCTCTGGAGTTCTTTATTCAATACCACCTACGAGCTTTTTGTAGACCGGTGAGGACTAAGCCATTTAATGAAATCTTGAACCAAACCCGATCTAAATATTGAAGATTTCATTACAGTACAACTTCCCTGGGCTAATGTATGTTGAGAATCCCAAACTTGAATTAACGTAAGCGAATGTACCGAGAAGAAGCGCCCTGTGACTGTTTTTCACATCTGAGAACTTGCACAGCCCCGGGAACACAATTGCGGACTCCCACAAGTCCATGGGCTGTACCTGTTAGGGGGGCTTAGCTCTTTTTGTGCAAAACCTATGAGCTAAGCACCGCTAAAAATAGGCAGGGTAAAAATAACGTAGACTCTTTAAATAGCTCCCGTAACTATAAAGCAAAAACTAATTTTCACATGGTTAATGCTAGGAAGTGACGGCCGTGTAGTATAACCACAATTGTAAATATGCAGGATGCACATACACTTTCATGACTAATTTAAAGTTTGAGATGTCCGTATTACCTGTGTAATAGCTCTATAAATTTATATATTCCTTATTACACAAATTAAGTACAAAAGTCCTTTGTTTACTTGGTTCTAATCTTAGATATCAAGTTTT